AGAAGGAGAAGGAGAAGGAGAAGGAGAAGGAGAAGGAGAAGGAGAAGGAGAAGGAGAAGAGGAGGAGGAGGAAAATAGGACCTCAAAGAGCTACCTGCACCTCCACGTTCATGCAGCATTATTCACATTAGCCAAGGATGGAAACCATCTAAGTGTCCATCAACTGGTGGATGAATAAAAAATACAGAGTACACATGCACAATGGAATATTATTTCAGTCAAGAGAAAGAAGGAAATCCTGCCATTGCTACAACATGGATGAAACTTGAGGCATTATGCTAAGTGAAGTAAGATAGACAGAGAGAGACAAAAACTATGATATCACTTATATGTGGAATCTAAAAGCCAAACTGATAGAAACAGAGTTGAGTGGTGATTGTCAGGGGTTGGGGATAGCAGAATGGGAAGATGTTGATCAAAGGGTATGAACTTCCAGTTATAAGATGAGTAAGTTCTGGGGATCTAAGGTACACCATGGTAATTATAGTTAATAATGCTATATTATATATTTGAAAGTTGCTATGAAAGTAGATCTTAAATGTCCTCATTGCAAGAAAGAAATGGTATTTATGGGACATGATGAAGATCTTTGCTAATGCTATGATGATAATCATTTTGCAATATCTAAATACATCAGTTCAACACATTGGATACCTTAAACTCACACAATGTTATGTCAATTATTTCTCAATAAATCTAGGGAAATAAATCCACCCCCTACAGTGCTTTCAGGGGAAAAGGGTGACACAGCTGCTAAACGCTCAACTCGCAACAGACCTGTAGAGTTGAGTTCAATTCCTAGCTCCTCTCCATGATGGCTATGTGGACTTGGGCAGAGCTGAACTTCACTGTACTTTGTCCCTTCCACAAAATGGAAATGATGATGAGAACAGCCATTCTTTCTTATGATTATCAGAAAATGCAAAATGTACTTAGCATACTGTCTGGGACATAACAAGTGTCGAAAAAATGTTAACCAACGTAAGGCTCTCTCTCAGCACATTTCTTCTCTCCTAAGCACCATATGCCCACCTTTGGAAGTGTATCCCTATAACTGTCCAACATGGATATTAGACAGAAAAGGAAAAAAATCAATAAATAATCTGGATTTCCCAAGTCCCTTCCTCAGATGTCTGGAGGTCTCTTAATGCTGCCACCACCACCATCACCCTCACCCCCAAATAGCCCATTGGCTTGTTCCTCATTTCTTTCAGGTCTTGACTCCAACATCACTTCAGTGACATCCAGGGAACCCATTTATAATTCCAAATACCTGCCCCCACAACACACACACACACACACACACACACACACACACACACACACCATTCCATTTCCCCTCCTTGCTTTATCTTCTGTTACACTTGTCAACATAGGACACACCTCGCAATTTGCTTACTTATTTGTTTATTGTCTGTCTCCTCCCAGTAGAATGAAGCTCCTAGAGGGCAGGGGTCTTTGTCCACTTGCTTCAATTGCTATGTCCCCAGCGCAGGCAGTGGGTACCCGGTTAACAATTAGTTGAATGAACAAGTGAGTGAGTGAGTGAGTGAGTGAACAAACGAATGAACAAAGAGAAGCCTCTGGGCTTACCAGGGAGGTAAAGGCTGGGGGTTGGTCTCAGATCCCACTCAAGTCCCTCTCACCTGCTGCCTAACCTGGCAATTCTTCTTTCAGGCTCCACACAAGTTGCCTATCCCCCTAAATCTGGGTGCTGATTCCAGACGCCCCCTCCCCCAGGAGCGGTAAGCACCCCACGCCACTTTTGAGACCCAAGGGTGAACAGGAGGGGCAAGAATCCCAGCGGGCCACCTCAGGATGGGGGACGGGGCTCCCCAAGCCCAGGTCACCCTTCCTCCCCCTCCCATCCCTTGGCTCGCGTAGGTCGGTGGGGGAGGGTGGCGGGGAGCGCGGCCGGCCCAGGGCTGCCCAGGGTGGCGGCGTCGGGGCTGCGGGCGCCTTCGCCGGACCCGCATTGCCCCCTAGTGCCGCGCGGAGTCAGGGCGCCGGGCTCCCCCGCCTGATGTCACCGCCGTGCAGTCAGCCCAGAGGCGGCTGGTTGCGAGCAGACCCTCCTCGGCGCTGGCTGCGCTGGGCGCCGCTGCCCGCACACCCGCCGCCGGCCGGGCCGAGCCGAGCCGGGCGCCCCCATGCCCGCCGCCCCTCCCGCGCCGCTCCCCGCCTGGCCGGCCCGGCGCGCCTGACGTGGACCATTAAACTTGGAGCTGCCGCCTCGGCCCCTCTCTCCTCCGCCTCCCTCTGACAGCCGGGCGAGCGGGCGGCTCGGTGCAGGCAGGAGACGCGCCGCCGGGGCTGGGCTGCCCGGGGGGGAGATGAGTCCTCGCCGGGAGGGCGCCTCTGGGAAGAAGACCGCGGGCGAAGCAAAGTTGCAGGGCAGCTGAGGAGCTCGGCCGCAGCCCTTCCAGCCCCGCTCACCCCAGGCTATGGAGGGCCGACTCTAAAATGAATCCCGATCTGGACACCGGCCACAACACATCAGCACCTGCCCACTGGGGAGAGTTGAAAAATGCCAACTTCACTGGCCCCAACCAGACCTCGAGCAACTCCACACTGCCCCAGCTGGACATCACCAGGGCCATCTCCGTGGGCCTGGTGCTGGGCGCCTTCATCCTCTTTGCCATCGTGGGCAACATCGTGGTCATCCTGTCGGTGGCCTGCAACCGTCACCTGCGGACGCCCACCAACTACTTCATCGTCAACCTGGCCATTGCCGACCTGCTGCTGAGTTTCACCGTGCTGCCCTTCTCGGCGGCCCTGGAAGTGCTCGGCTACTGGGTGCTGGGACGGGTCTTCTGTGACATCTGGGCCGCCGTGGACGTCCTGTGCTGCACGGCCTCCATTCTGAGCCTGTGCGCCATCTCTATCGATCGCTACATTGGGGTGCGCTACTCTCTGCAGTACCCCACGCTGGTCACCCGGAGGAAGGCCATCTTGGCGCTCCTCAGCGTCTGGGTCTTGTCCACAGTCATCTCCATCGGGCCTCTCCTTGGGTGGAAGGAGCCCGCGCCCAATGATGACAAAGAATGTGGGGTCACTGAAGAACCTTTCTACGCCCTCTTCTCCTCCCTGGGCTCCTTCTACATCCCTCTGGCGGTCATTCTGGTCATGTACTGTCGCGTGTACATCGTTGCCAAGAGGACCACCAAGAACCTGGAGGCCGGAGTCATGAAGGAGATGTCCAACTCCAAGGAGCTGACCCTGAGGATCCACTCCAAGAACTTTCATGAGGACACCCTCAGCAGTACCAAGGCCAAGGGCCACAACCCCAGGAGTTCCATAGCTGTCAAACTTTTTAAGTTCTCCAGGGAAAAGAAAGCAGCCAAGACCTTGGGCATTGTGGTCGGTATGTTCATCTTGTGCTGGCTACCCTTCTTCATCGCTCTGCCGCTTGGTAAGTTGGGGACTGGCGGACGGGGAACAGGGCGCTTTCAGATCTGGGGTTTACTGACGAGCTTACTGTAAAGTTTTTCATGGGGTTTGTTTTTTATGCAGCCTGTGTGTGTTTGGAGCCTGGGGAATACTGTTTGTTCTGCAAAGGCTTTGCAGATTGGGTAGCTGGCTAAGAACCAACTCAGGTGTTACTGGAACACACTAAGTAAGGCGCTAGTCTCTTGAAATAGAACCACAGGAGGAAAATCTGGTATGTGGAATGACTCATTCAACAGCATCGGTTTAATAATTAAAAAGGACACTGGACTTGAACATCACACCAGCGTTATCTCAGTAGTAATGATGTGCGGGCTAAGGCAGCGTCACTAATGCAGCATACAAAATAGTTTGTAGTTACCGCAGACGCGGCATTTGGGAAGCAGGCAGGCGGCTCGTACGCAGAAAGGCAGTTTTCATTCAGCATTTCCAGGGCTCTTGCAGAGACCCACGCTCCCCATGAGCTTTGCAGAGGTTGCGTTCTCCCCCCCTCCCTTTACCGCTTGCTATCACCTCAATGCACTCCCTTCATTATGAGTTAATAAGGGCCTTTTAACAGCTGCACGGCCCCATCCAGCCTTTGAGTTACTAAAGCTTGAGATTTGAAAGAGAAGGAAGACACCCGGAGGGTCACATGTTTTCGGTTTTTACCCAGAAATGTTCTAACTCTGGTGATTCATGGAATACCCAGATTTAAATTAGAGTGGTCCCTCACCTTCAGCTACCAGACACCAAATCCTGCTAGGATGAAACTGAGTTCTTCCTCTCCTATAAAAATATGTCCATCTTCTTTTGTTTAATGGTCTGACTAAGTTGTTCAAAAAGCTTCCTGATTTTTTCCCAAGAAGACAAGGTCTGGTTAGGAGGTAAATCTACAGGAAGGTACTGTGACATGCTGTCCACATGGCTTGGGAAACACTTGTCCCTTCTCTAAGGCACTGACCTGCTTTGGGTTCCTCTCCTGTCCCTGGGAGACACTCCGGAAAATGAATGGAGGGAGGTGATCATTGCAAAGTCATGTGCCATGATATCAGAAGAGGTAACGGCTGCTACGTGCCACAACCATATATATTCCTGCAATCACACCCAGGGCTCAGTTAGAACTGAACATAATCCCTCAAACAACTAAAATTCTGAAGGCACACTGCTTTTAAGAGAAAGGGGCAAATGGAAAGAAAGCAAATTGAGATTAGGAGTTTCCATTTTTCAAAGATGAAGAAAAAAACCTGTTTAACCTACTCTCCATGTTGTCATTTCCAAGGCAGGCTTGCAAGTTAATGCCTTTCAGAAATAATTTTAGTGCATTATGTGGAAAGCGTTTGAAGCTGTACTCCACCCCACCCCCCTCCCAGGAGTGGTCACATCTCACTGCAGAGAAGCTTTTTTTTTTCCCCCCAAGGTCTTGGGGTCCTTTTGCAGGCTTGTTGGGTTAAAGTGAGTAATAGTTCACACTGCTTTGCATCACGGTTGTACACGGAAGTGATTTGGTCATGTATTAGCTATGTGACCTTGGGCAAATGAACACTCACCTGTGAGTCTCAGTTTCTCCATCTGCAAAATAGGGCTAATTACTATTTGCTCCATGGGGTTTGCACTAATGCATGGAAAGGACTTAACACAGTGTCTGGTGCACAGCAAAATCTCAGTGAAAGTCAGCTTAGTACTACAAACCAGATCCCAGTCGTCCCTCAGCTACAGCTGTGTTTTCTCTTTCTCTACTCATTTGACCATCCCACACCTGTGACTAAAGGCTCAGAAGAGAACTGAGTCCTTCTCCTTTCTTCTTTCTGCCTCTGCCCCCCAACCTATAGAGACTAGGACCAGAGCATCCTCAGGAAGGAGAAGGCCCCAGCAGGATGCAGGGAATGGATCAAAGGTGCAAACTTTCACTTTAGGGGGCAAGAGAAACAGGTCCAAATAGGTGAAGAGGCTGCCCACATGCTGAAATGGAAAGAGCACTGCCCTGGGGTTCAAGACCAATAGATTTCTAATGTGAGCTTTGCCATCAATCAGCTCTGTTATCCTAGGCTTGTTTTACATCTCTGGGCTTCAGATCTCACTTTCAGGGAACAAGAGGGCTGGACTAAATCAAGGGCTCTCAAACTTTAATAAAGATCACAATCATCTGTGGGACTTGATAAGCATTCAGCTTCTTAGATATAACCCACAGAGAATTTGATTCAGTACATCAGATAGGTCTCGGGAATCCTCATGTTTAACCAGCCCACCAGGTGATTCTGAAGAGGCGGTCCACAGACCAGGCTTTGAGAATCGCTGGCCAGGGGATCAATCAGTTCCCTTCAGGCTCCAGCATCCTAGACACCAAGGTTTAAATTCGACAAAGCTTAGCCCTTCCCCAGACACGTGGTGGTGCAGGATGATGTGACTTCTCTGTGGGTCCTGCTCTTCAAACTCATCCTCGGTTTCATGTCATTCACACTATCCCCACCTGTCCTCCCTTTCTGTTTATGACCTTCTGAGGCCTTAACCCTGGATTCCATGGCTTGCCCTCAGAGCTTGTTTCTCCTCTCCTTGCCATGAAACCTTTCTGCACATCCCTGCCACTATCTCCTGGAGATCTCCTGGTGTGCAGTCCCTAAGCTACTTCACCCACCTCCTCTCCCCTGGCTGCCCAATACTTGGCAGGTAAGAAATATGGACTCCAGGCCTTGGTTGGGATGGACTCTGAAAAGTACTCGAGAGCTTCAAACAGAAAAGGTGCTTTATCAGCATGTTTTTAATAATTTAAGAAGAGCATCCCAGCAACATGAAGATGTGGGTTTCCCCTGAGTTCAAATAACACCCAAACAAAATAAGCATGATGTAGAACAATAACTCTTTTGGAATCTGAAGAAGGTTCCAAATTCGAAATTTTCCATGAAATGCTTTTCACTCACAAGGGGAGAAAGCAGATCTAGGGGAAGACAATCATTGGCAAACAGAGAAGTGCAGGTAGGAGTAACTTGCAATTAGCAACAGACTTCCAGGTGCCTGGATGGCATGAGATTTCCATAGCTGTGTTTGTCTTCTCTGTGGGTGAGAAGGGTTGGGATCCCTCCTGGGAAGGAGGGAAAATAGTCATGCCCTCTGCAGGGTCCTGGTCAGGGGCCCCATTTGTTTTCCTTCCTCACTTATTTTTATTTTTGGGAGCAGGACTGGGCTGCCCGCAGGGCTGGGTCTCTCGTCTCCTGTGTAGTTCTCCCCACCTGTAACACCCTCCCTACCTCTTCCCCACCCTTCCCCTGTGGCCTCAGGCCAACTTGGGCCAGGGACCAGCTTTTCCTTACTAGGGAGCAGAGATGGACACCACCAGACAAGGACCTCTTTATTCAGGCCCTGGAATCGGGCCTTGGAGGGACAGGAAATAATTGGAATATAATATAGTAGCATTTCTACGCAGTAGGCCATGTGCAAGATGTCCAAGGAATCTTTGGCTCCCAGGCATTATAATGAAGGCTAGCTCCCACCTACCTAGGGAAGACCTGCCCAGGGTCTTGAGAAGTGGCTGGGCTACTGAGGGATGTGCATTGTCTTGTGGGGATACATTGGGGGGGGGGGGGGTAGGCGAGCAGGAAGTACTGGGCAGCCAACGGGTAGCTGGGCTTAGTGCGTTGTTTAGAAAACACTGGAACCTTGCCTCGCTCCAAATCTTTCTTCCGTCTTTTAAAATGCTGAAAGGCACCAGGAAGCCATTATTGAACTAACTGCTTTCCCCTCCAAATAAATGAAGGTCAATTTCAAAGAAACAGTTGTGTTCTCATAGTGCTGGGACCAAATAGGAATCTCTCTGCACTGATTTGTTTCTGTACTCCTCTCATTCAAATTGGGGCTGATGAATTCCTGCCTCCCACAAGAACACTGGGGAGGGTGAGGGTCTCAGAGATGACTCAGGACGGGGCCACCGCCACAAATATACACACTAACCCTCCAGCTCTGAGGTTTCAAAACACAGGGATTTGAGTTGCTCACAAAGAAAGCAATTGGTTTAAGTGAGGGAGAAATTTTTACACGCAGGGAATCCTTTCTGGAAAAGGAAAATACATTCGACCATTTATGAAATCATCAATAAAGACTTCCTAATGCATCTACTCTGTGCTACATGGCCCCTGCCTGCAGGATGTTTACCACCTCGTGAGATCTTATTTTTATGAAGCATGTACTATATGCCAGACATTCTGCTAGGCCCTCTACAGACATTATCTCATTAATCCCTGCAGCTACCCTGACAGGGGAGAGTAATTGCTCCCTCTCTACAGATGAATAGGCGGGAGGAGCTCAGAGCTGGAGCTGAGCTCCGAGAGGTTAGCCTTCTTGCCCCAGGTCATATAGCAAGTAAACAATAGAGCCAAGGGGTGAATCCCAGTCTGTCAGGACAGGCACATACCTGTTCCACTGCACCTAGGAGATATCTGGCCTTCTTGCTTCCCAGTCCAAATCTGCTCTCTTGGCAAATGTGCTCCAAAACTCCAGAGCTGCCATGTCAAAAGCTGGGTATTATACTTCTGTTACAAAACTCTGCCTTTCTTCCACTCCCCACTCGCCTCTGCAAAAAAGACACCCAGAAAATGTTAGGGAAGGGCATCCACACCCTAGCTCAGGGCTAGATTTGCTCTGTACCTACCGCACCGTGTAGGATGTTGGTCTCCCAACGCTGGACCCTGGACCGTCCATCGCTCCAGCCAGAGGAAAATGTGGGACCTTGCCCTTTATCTGAGAATCTAGCTCTATGTCTTTAGTCATTCATTCGTTTGCTGAATAAGTATATATTTATTGGATGTCTACTGGGTATTGTGCTGGAGGTACAGTGGTGAGCAAAACAGCTATGTTCCATGTTCTCATAGAATTTAGTTCTACGGAGGAATGCAGACCATTTGAAAAACACATGCACACAAATAACACGACACAAATTGCAACAAGTGACTTAAGTAAAGGGATGAGATGCTATTAGAAGTAAATAATAGGAGT